TTGGCCTGCTGTGTTCATCCAGCCCTGCACCTTGTTGTCTCGGATTCTCCAGCATCTGCAGTTCCTACTATCTCTGATTCAATTTTAACCCCACTGCGAAGCCTCTTCTAAGGATGCCTAACCTGAAGAAGTTACCCTCCTCCCTCCGGACAAACCTCAAGGGATCTCTCTCCTACTGCAACTCTCTCGTAATCTCTTCGGCCCTGAAACTGCTCGACCCAACTGTAGAATAAGTTTGTTTTGGATTACATCTGGAGCGTGTGGGAAGCAGTTGTGCAGCAGATACTGCAGTATTGCAGATGCAACACCTTGCCTGCACCGCCATGGTGTTCGAGTGAACTCAATCACTTATTTTCCGAGGTAGCAGAGATGCGGGAGGGAAGTCCGAAGATGCAAGAGGGCAAAGTAGTAGGGTCCTGTCCCCAGAACATTAGCCTGGCTTTTTGGTTCGCCAGCCCAGTGAAATTACCATCCTGCCTCAGCACTCCCTCCCCCGCTCTGTGGCTATGCCCGTGTTGTACACACAGATTGTGAGTCAAGTGAAAATGCAACTCCCTTTTCTATTACACCCGAGATTTTTTTTTAAGAAACTCTCAACTGTTCTGGTAACGAAACTTTGGACTCGTCTCATCCAAAACTGATGCGACTCCCTCCGTGTCTCGTAATCATTATCCCCACTCCCAGATATACTGTCCCGCACCCCTCAATTGTCAGAAGCCTACAGCCTCTATTGAATCTAACAGGCATGTAAGCATCAGCTTTATTGGCACCTTTCATGTGTAGGAAAAGGTGAGTTTTATTGTTTATTTCACAGCCATGATGGGATGGTGAATACTGATACTGCCTCTACTTTTAAGAATAGGTTATAAAAACAGCGAGAGCTGGAGAGACTCTGCCAGTATTGGTCGAGGGAGAGTCACAGCCAAAGTGTTAAGTCTGAAATGACTCCACTTTGGACCACCTCTGAGCAGATTAACTCATGCCCATAGCACCCCCAACCCCCAACGCTGGAAAGGATCTGCTCCTCCAGTCCTTGCTTGCTGCTTTATCGGCTGCCCAGGGTCTGCTGACTCTAGTGAAAGGGCAGTTTCAGAAAGAGGGTCTTCTGAGTAAAGCTGGGAGGGGGTGGTAGAGCGGTGTCCATCGAGGAGATAGTGAGGGCAGAGGTATGCCTACCTTTGTCTCTTGGGGTTGGGAAGGGGGACAGTGTGGAGTTGTGGGAGAAGGCAGCTCAGAAATTCGGTGGGTGGGGTGGACTGGGAAAATCAGGTTGATTGTAATCCCAAGAAAAGGAATTTGTGCAATACCTATGAAATGGGAACAGTTTGTGGTAGATCCCACGAAGGAATAGGCAATTCTGAATTTGCTGATGTGTAATGAGGCAGACTTGATTAGGGAGTTAAAGATGAAGGAACCCTTAGGTGGTAGTGACTACAATATGATAGAATTCACCGTACAGTTTCAGGGGGAGGAGCTGGAATCAGATGTAATGGTATTACAACTGGGTAAAGGTAATTGCAAAGACATTTGGGAAGAGCTGGCCAGATTTAATTGGAAGGGGAGCCTAGCAGGGAAGATGGTAGAGCAGGAGTTTCGGGGGGATAATTCGGGAGACACAGAAGAAATTCATCCCAGGGAAGAAGAAACGTTTTAATGAGAGGATGGGGCAAACATGGCTGGCAAGGGAAGTCAGGGACAGCATAAAAGCATAAGGAAAAACAATGCTGTATAACTCCATTACTCTAAAAGGCATACAATGTAGTGAAGATCAGTGGAACGCTAGATGGTTGAGAAGCCTTTAAAAACCAATGGAAGATAACTAAAATAAGCTTGGAGAAGATGAAATATGAAGGTAAGCTAGCTAGCTAGTAAAATACAAAAAAGTTGCAAGAATTTTTTTAGACATACAAAAGGTAAGAGAGGTAACAACAGATATTGGACTGCTGGAAAATGTGGCTGGAAAAGTAGTAAGTGGGGGGCAAAGAAATGGTGGAGGAACTGCATAGGTACTTTGTATCTGTTTCCACAGTGGGAGACATCAGAAGTATATCAGAACTTCAAAACAGTTAGGGGGACAGAGTTGAATGCAGTGGGAGGATTGTATTGCTGACGCTCTGTAAGGATCTGGTCAGACTACATTCAGAATATTGTGAGCAATTTTGGGCCCTGTATCTAAGGAAGGATGTGCTGGCTTGGGAGGGGGTCTAGAGGAGGTTTACAAGAATGATCCCAGGGATGAAAAGCTTGTTATGTGAGGAGGGGTTGAGGACTCTGGGTTTGTAGTTGGAGTTTAGAATAGTTTAGAATGAGAAAAACGTCTACACTTTGATGGTTTCTGAAGTGACCAAGAGTAATCAATAACAAAAGATGGCAACTGAATTCTTTTGATGGCAAATAATGTGTGTTTCTGCCAAATAAAAGACATTCAAATTGTACCCTGAATGTCAAATTACTGATCATTTCATGTGCATTTGCAAAATGATGTCAAAATTTCTGTAGATAGGCTAGCACCTGTGGAGGTGTGTCAGCTGTTCCATGTTTCTTTCTCCCATCCACTAAAAACTAGTGCATAGCTACGAGACAAAATCAGAAAGGCTAACAGGATGCAATATCTTAAAGGAGTTGACATTCTGAAGTGACGTTTCTGTTTGGAAGGCCAGGTCAGACCCACATGCCTTGGGCATTGAAGCTACGGATTGATGTTGGATGGGCTAGAGCATAGATTCACAAAAAAGATATCAGGATCTTTTCTTTTGATTCATTCATGGGATGTGGGGCATCACTGGCCAGGCCAGCATTTACTGCCCATCCCTAATTGCCCAGAGGACAGATAAGAGGCAACCACATTGCTGTGGGTCTGGAGTCACACATAAGTCAGGCCAGGTAAGGACAGCAGATCTCCTTCCCTAAAAGGGATCAGTGAACCAGATGGGTTTTTCCAACAATCGGCAATGGTTTCATGGCCATCATTAGACTCTTAATTCCGGGTATGTTTATCGAATTCACATTCCACCATCTGCCATGGCAGATTTGACCCAGGTTCCCAGGGCATTACCTAGGGTCCTGGATTAATAGTCCAGTCATAATACCACTGGGACATCAACTCCCGGGTTTGAGAGTTTGGGAATTATATGGACAGATTATAAACACACCTAATACTTCAAGTTGAAACGTTGAGGGGGCGATCTGATTGAAGTTTCTTAGAATTATATCAATATCGTAGACCAAAATGAAGCACCTTCTCTATTAAAGAATCCAGAATGAAGGAAATAGTAGCTAAACTTTGAGCCAGGCCATTTTAGAATGGAATCAGAAAATACTTATTGGCAGAAATTGAATTTGCTCGATTTCATTTGGGTGAGGCTACAAATTAACATGGGACAAGGGAGATACATGTAATTTAGGACAAATTCAGCTGATGTCTACCAAAAGGGCGGAACGTGGGGAAGATGCTAATTGATCTCCAGCTGTTCATCTATGGTGTGAAGCACATTTCAAAATCACCAGCAACCCACCAGATCAAAATAAACTAATCCCGATATTCAGGATGAGAAAATCACATCATTAAATCGACACATCGGAATTATCGACTTCAGACTAAGCAAAACAAGTAAGAGTAACGTTGCCCAGTTGAGCCCATCAAATGGCTATTTTAGAATGTTTCTTTTGAGGAGTGTCGTTTCCCAAAAGAGAACCCTGGCCACAAAAGTTTGGAAGATTCTCTTTTTAAAATGGTTTAGAGGAGGGGAGAGCAGTTTAAATGTCTGCACCCTTACTTTGCAATTGTGAACAGTTGCATCCCCACGGAAACGAATAGAAGATGCCAGAAACTAACTGAAGAAAGATCCTTTGAAGAAATAAATAACTAGATAAATAAATAAATAAATAAATTACTGTTGCCACCAAATCTCAACAAACAAAACAAGCAGTGGCCGGGGGATTATCTGTAAAGGGAAGCTAGTTTCACAATAGAAGTGGAATGACTGCAAATGTTATCGTAATGAGGTCCAAAGAATATTTAACAAAAGCTGTCCCTTACAGCAAAAAGCCAGACTCAAGCTGCTGAAATATTACTAAACATTTCAGCGGCTTAATGCTAAACTTATCCTATTGATAGCATTTTTGGCATTTTCCATTGTATTACAATGGGAATCAGAATTTCCAACAGGTCATTGGGCTACCGAGTGAAGACAGGCAGTAGGTCGAAGCTGGTTGCCTGGTAGCCATTATTGCCAATGATCAGATGTGTATGTTCGCCATGACTAGTTGAAGCCAAAAAGTGAAGACAGTGATGAGTTACTCTTCACCCAGTGAGCGATCAGTGTTAGTAGAGGCATGAAGATATAGCAGGATGCATCATTATAGCGTGATTAGTAATGATTAGTCAAGCAAATCATCCATGACTTCCATCACATGCAAGGGCCGATCGTCCGACTCCTATACAGATCAAAACTGATGACAGTTTCTGGAGAATGCAATTGATTTTTCATGCTAAATCATTTTCAGTTTCGCTCTCCCAGTCACCATTTCCAATCTCCCCCAACACTGACAGCCAGCCCCCATTTGTATTACCCACCCCCTTTTTAAACTTAATCATCAACTCAAAATTATTCAGGCCAGGCATGGAATGTTGAATGGGAAAGTGAAGACTGACATACGGCCTGCTTTGCCTCGCTCTGATTTTCTTTCTCCTCCGTCTCTGACCCTTTCCTTTCCCTCTCTTCGGCTTGCTGTAAAAAGAGCATAGTTCTACAGTTTAGCGAAAAGATCCCTGAGGTGGCTAGCAGCTGTGGGGTTGGGGGCGGAGCTGGGAGAAAGTGTGTGTGCGTGGGCGAAGGAGGAGCATCTGGAGGGCTGTTGTTCTAAGGTGGTCCGGCTGCTCTGAAATCTAGTGGCCTCCCGCCGACCCATTGCCAGAGGGACTCCTGGGTGCAGTTCATCCCTCCTGAGAACCAGTTGCCCTCTCCATCTCCATTTAGTTTAGTAACTAAATGAAGAACAATTAATGGCCGCAATGATGTGAAGTGGCGACTGAAGGAAGAAGCTATGAGGTGATGGCATAATGGCATGAATCACAGAAGGTAGGTCTGCAGGTACAACAAGTAATTAGGAAGCCAAATGGAATTTTGTCCTTCATTGCTAAAGGGATTGAGATTAAAAGCAGAGAGGTTATGTTGCAGCTGTACAAGGTGCTGGTGAGGCCACACCTGGAGTACTGTGTGCAGTTTTGGTCTCCTTACTTAAGAAAGGATGTACTGGCACTGGAGGGGGTGAAAAGGAGGTTCACTAGGTTGATTCCGGAGTTGAGGGGGTTGTCTTATGAGGAGAGACTGAGTAGATTGGGATTATATTCATTGGAATTCAGAAGATTGAGGGGGGATCTTATAGAAACATATAAAATTATGAAGGGAATAGATAAGATAGAAGTAGAGAGGATGTTTCCACTGGCAGGTGAAGCTAGGACAAGAGGGCATAGCCTCAAGATTAGAGGGAGCAGATTTAGGACTGAATTGAGAAGGAATTTCTTCACCCAGAGGGTTGTTAATCTATGGAATTCCTTGCCCAGTGAAGTAGTTGATGCTACTTCAGTAAACGTTTTTAAAGATAAGGTAGATTTTTTTGAACAATAAAGGAATTAAGGGATACGGTGAGAACGCGGGTAAGTGGATCTGAGTCCACGAAAAGATCAGCCATGATCTTATTGAATGGCGGAGCAGGCTCGAAGGGCCGGACGGCCTACTCCTGCTCCTAATTCTTATGTTCTTATGTAATGTCACTGGATTAGCAATCCAATCAATAAATCCAGGAAACAATCATTGATTGATGTGAAAACCCCTCTGGTTCACTAGGGTCCTTCAGGGAAGGAAATCTGCTGCCTTCACCTGGTCTGGCCTACATGTAACTCCAGACCTACAGATATGTGGTTGATTCATGGCTGCCCTCTGCCACAGCCTAGTAGTTCATGAACAGTTAGGGTCAGGTAATGAGCAATAGCTCTGCTAGCAATCCCAACATCCCATGAATCAAAAAAGAGAAATCACATCCAAAAGGAAAGCTAAATGAGGTCTACGAAAGTACTCCTGGGCTCCCACTTGTGGGAGTAATATCAGTCTGAAAAGCCTTTGTTTTCCGCTCGATTATTTCACTAAGGAAAAATGACTCAGCTGATTGGCAAGGAGAAGAGCAATTTACTGAAGATGGAAGAATCCAACAACAGGTAAGGTCAATTTGGGATATGCTACACTCAAGAAATCAAGGTGGATTGCCACTCAGGATCTTCTGCACTGCTCTCCTTTCGCAGGACTCTCTCAACTTTGGTTCCTTTACAGTGCAGTACTGAGCTGCACTGTCAGAGGGCGCTGCCTTCCACATAAGATGCTAAACTGAGGCCCTATGCTCCCAGGTGGGAGGATGAGGATCTCGTGGAACTATTTCTGATGAAGAGCATGGGAGTTCTTCCCCAGCCTCCCTAATTGAAATTTATTCCGCAACAAACACACAAAAGAGATGATTTGGTGACTTAATCACACAGTTGTTTGTGAACTGCCTGCATCTGCCATGGTGGGAATTGAGCTGGGATTACGAACCCTATAATATACAAGACCCAAATGCAAAGTAACCAATCTTGTGCTGTGCTTGACTAAGTGTTAGCTATACTGTTAAACACACAATGGAGAGTTCTACTGTCTCACAATATTAGAGGGTTACAGTTACTCATTCTCTCAGCCAGAACCAATTTAGCCAACTGATGTAGATGGCAATGTGCTGAGCCCACTAGCCGATATCACTTTTCTTACAGAAGATAGCAATGATGTCTGTTCAGTTCATTTCTAAACAATCTGCTCATTCGTTGAGCTCTTGGCAAGGGGAGTGAGAGAGCAGGTCCCATACAAACCTCAAACCTATTTGATTCCAACAACACTATAAGCTAAATAATGCAATGAGGCTTTCCAATTTGCATGGCAGGCTGTCCCTGCGGATTTGGGAGGTTGGTGGAATATACACTGTTTGATATGATAACATTTGATGGAAACCATTTTTCCCAACTAGGCCAACATACCATTCCAAAGTCAGCTGATGCTATATTCACTGACATTTTTGAGCTCACTGATTAGATAGAAGTTGTCAATAAACAGTAAAACAATTTCCAACACTGTCCAGCTATGAGACAAGTCAATTTCCCATTAAATAGGGTGCCAATGTTTCTTTGTTTTGCTTTTTCTTTCAGACTGTGATCTTTACAGTGATATTTCTTACCTTTTTGCTGCATCGCGTCTATCTTTCTTTGGTCTGTTGAAAAAACACAACATTACAATTATTCAATATGTAATTTTCATCTCAATTGGTTGTTACAGTGGGTTGTTACACTCTGCCCTTTCCCCTCTGGGACTGGGTGTTACAGCTGGTCAGACACACTGTCCTTTCCCCTCTGGGACTGGGTGTTACAGCGGGTCAGACACACTGCC